TAGCGTTCCAATTTCAAGCCAAACATTTATTCAGTTAGCCCTGATCTTCTGGGTGTTTACTCTTTGTAAACTTGTTACTAAACCAAAAAACTCCCAGGGGTGTGGTACTGTCCCTGGGACCTGCTTCTCCAGCACTAAAATATCCAAAACTTCCAAAGAGACGAGTAATGAGAAACCTTAAAAGAGGAGGAAAAGGAGAAGGGAGAAAGGATTTTTGAAAGGAGCAACATGCCTACATCCTGGAATTGGGTCATTAAACACAAGTAAAATCTGACAGTGGATTCTGTGAGTCGGAGGAACAGCTGTGTGTTTCTGGCAGCATCGCCAACAACCATGTGTGTGAATGGCCTCTGCAGACAGGGGATCAGCAAAGAGGGCTGAGCTTGCACAGTATGTTGTTTCAACTTATGAACAATTTGATTATTATAAACTTATCGCATTAATTAACCTATCTTCTCCTTTTATCAAATAAGTGTACTTCAGGAGGACTTCTTAGAGGCATTTTTTTTTTAAACGCTGTGCACTTCACCTTCTTTTCTTCTGTAGAGACTTCAAGTTTGAGGAGTATACAATGCTTATGAAAGAAATTATATTGATAACAAATTTACAAAAAGAAATCAGGACTTGAGATGAAAAGCATTCCTATACAGGTACGGTCAGAGTGTTTTTGCTTCCCACTCCAGCTTCAGTATTGTTTGCAATTCAGAATTATAACTCATTATGATGGAGAAAAGTCTCTGTGGGTCCCTGATGCATAAGGATACAGGTGGATTGGCTCTCTGATTGGGGGTCTGATAAAGCAAAGTCAATCCCCATGTGACCAAAAGCCTGGCTTATCTAAGGTACGATAGAAGGCACTCTGACCTCCAAGACACTGTCGTGCCCACCCCCGTCCCAGACTGCAGTCTTCCTCACTAGCAGACCCTGGGCAATCCTCTGGATGTCTCTCAGCCTTAATTCTCTCATTAAAAAGAAAAAAAGAAAACATGTTAGTTGATACAATACCTCTACTTTTTAAAAAGAAAATTTTAAAAACTATTAATTGGCATATTTTAGAGTTCTAAACTCTAAAATATTATAATTCCGTAAGTTTGCCGGAAGTTAAAAGTTGCCGAGTCTTTTGCCTGTCTCAGCTAAGAGTATATGTCCCTGGAAATGACCCTGAAATCTGATGACACATCTATCTCAGGGCCAACCAAATCACCAAATCCTACCCCAGCCCTTCAGAGGAGCTGGCTGGGAAAACGAAAGACTGCCCCAGTGTAGACAAGTCTGACACAGGCATGTTTGGGCATTAGGACAAGAGGTCAGGTCAGTCCGATAGTTTGATGTGGGGAGACGATAAGGTGTCAGACCACAAACACAAATCCAGATGCCATCTGAGTAAGATCATGTGCACCATCCCATGGCAGATCGGTGCCCTGACATAAGGTGGACTTCTGCTGATACAAGTAGGCTTGCCTTAGAATGCTGCCAACTATTTCTATCTCATTAGAATACTACCTCTTATCCAAGCTTAGAAGCTATGGAAGAAATGAAAAAGAGAAAATTAGTTAAAAATTGAATTTACGCAAATGTAAAACTTTATATAAAATTAACCAAATTAGTAAAAATTAAAGCATGTAAAGGTTAATATATAAAGAACTCACGCACCTCTGTATGAAAACCACTAAAGCCTCCATAAATGAGCAGATATGAACAGATGATTCCAAAAAGCAAGACTGCTTAAACAAAAGCTCACTTTTGCTAGAAATCAGAACACTGTATTTTATCAATTCAGAATACATTAATGCATAATCACACACACACATGCACGCAGATATGTGATAAACGTGCAAGGCAGTAAAATGGATCCACCCACGCACTGCTTGTGGAAGGATGCAACTAGTTAGTCTGTTTAATAGCAATTTGACAATATGTATCAGCTACACCAAAAACATCATTGTGAGTTAAATCCAGAATTTCTCATAGGAAATATGCTATCAACAGTGGTTTCTTTGTTTTGTAGCCTTCTATTTAGTTCAAAATAATTATTTTTTGTATTTTTTAATTTGTCTACGCTTATCTGTGTAAGAGAAATAGAATCATATCTACTTAAAAAAAATGTCAACTCCCTCACACACTTCTATGCATATCATTTCCATGTCGGTCCTGCCCAGCTCATACAATCTACATAAAGTTTATTCCTAAAATACATCCCCCCCCTTTATTTTTTTTTTTTCCAGTAAAAGGGTGTTATAGAACTAAAATGCTACTTTGGTCCTGAAATAGATTACTGCATTGGAAGGTCAGTTCACATTAATACATAAGAATGGGTCCCAGGGAAAGAAGAGCAGTTTCCATAAAACATCTTTCAAAATGTTATTTAAAAGAATGCACTGAGGACGTGGTTTACATTACTGCAGTGGACTTTCAACACCTCTAATTGGAGTTTGAGCGAATTCTAAACGATTGACCCCATCTGGCAGCGAGAAAGACAGCAGAAGTCACACTGAGCTGGGGCATCCTGCAGCAGAGAACTGGGTCTGGGGAGGCTTCACAAAGACATCCCTGTCCTCGCCAGAGCTCTCCACCTCAACAGACATGTCCTCAAAGATCCTCAACAGGTGAGAGACAAAAAGGGAAAGGAGTTGCTTAGTCCTCGAATCAGTGAAACTAAAGGGAGCAGCAACCCCATCTCAAATTATTGCTGTATTGAAGAATTTCTCTCCATCTTTAACATGGACTGTGCATCCTTACGGCTCCCTTTCGGCAAAGAGGCAGCCTTGGGCACACTACCCGCACTGGGGAAAAGTGGCCCTTTGGTCTTTGGTGAATTAGGTCTGCTTCCTGACTCTCAGATTTTTCTCTATTCCCTCAATTCTTCTATTTCTCGCTGTTTGATTTTATTGTGGACTCAGAGTCTTTAAAACACATTTTAACACAAAAGGAACTGTCTATGTTGGAGCAAATCAAAACCAAGTCCAGTAGCTGAGCATCCTCTGCAAAATGCAAACCTCCCTTCTCCCCAGAACTCCCGGTTTCATGGTTGAGCTCTTTCTCTTCATTTGCCCATGATTGACAGGCAACAGAATTTAAAATGCAGACCATCTGACAGCTGCAGTACGATGTTCAGTGAGAAGATAAAGCCAATGTTCTGAAATCAGGGGACCGATGCCCAGGCTGCACCCCAAGTCTGCTCACCATGTCTGCACATCAATGGGAGGTGGAAGGCCCCCACCTGGTGGGGTAGATGTATGCTCAGTGGTGCCTTTAAACTGGGCGGCTGACCACCTGTGCAGAAGATGCACAGAGATAAACTCAGCCCATCTCATGCATCCCTAAAAGCATGACAGATTGTGGGCCACTGAGCCACATGCTACACGGTCTTTTTAATTCAACAGTAATCTTGCTTCAACGAAAATTTCCTCCATTTAAAAGGGAATGGTCCACAGAGAAGAATCTTGTCTTCTCAAAACAGACTTTGCTTGGAAACATTCCACTTACTTATTAGAAACTGACATCTACTTATAATCAGCAGGGCTTAATTGCTTTAAGTAATCTCAGACTCCCTGTTCTGAGACCTAAAAAAAAAAGGAAGATAGATTTTTCTACTTCTAATCGGAACACATATATGCACAGTCTCTGTGATATCCATTCCAAGTGAAATGTGTAAGGTCTGGGTGAAAATAAGATGAATTTCAATATTTCCGTGTAGGTAGTTGTGGCTGAATTCATTGCAGTCCTTTTTTCCCTCCTGTTGAGAATTGAGAAATTACGTATGTTGATTTCATATTTTCTGAGTAAGTGTTTTGACAGCCCAGCTTGGGACACACGAGTCTTTACAAATTAATATTTGCTTCAAAAAGTCCAAGCAACCTATCCCTTCATAATTAATTAAATCAGTTCTCCCAAGAAATGCTTTCCAAGGTTGAAAAACACAGCTGAATATGGACAGTAATTCATTTATGAACATTCTGTCCAATTAAAAAAAAAGTATGAAACTGAGGAAATGTTTTTTTCATGGATTGTCAGAGTAAACTGTCCATTAATTATGGCGTGTTTGCAGCCCATATAAACTTGAGGATGCAAATGTGGGTCCAGCATATCCCATGATACCCCCATTGGTGACTGTGAAGTTGAGAGCAAAGCTCGTTCATATCAAGGTCACATATCTTTAGTCAAACCCAACTAAGAGATTAGCCTGCATCTAAAACCAAGAGGAAATAAACAGTTAACTATTGGACCTGCAGTGGGAAGTGATATATTCTTAGAATCCTTACTATTGCAAATACTGTTCTTTACAACTATTTTATTTGTTCTTATGTGTGAAGAATGGGCCCCATCTTTGGCAGCTCCTGTGTAAAACACAACCATGCTATTAACTGGCAGGCAAGCTAATCAACACAGACTGGGGAAGGAGGGCATGGACGCCTCAGCTAGTGTGGGGCTTGGCATCACTGCCCTGTCATCATCCATTAGGCAGAATGCTGGATTACACCATCTAGATTTGACTTAAAAAAAAAAGATTTGATTCTCTTATGTAATTGCCCTCCTGCTGCCTCATTTTTTGATTGACTAAAATTGTTCACCAACTATGCAAATGTATACAAATTTAAAAATCATTTTGGCACCTGGAAAACATTCCAGAAACATATCTGTGGTAATAGTATTCACCATCTTTACTTGTTCAGTTATCATGAAAAAAATAAATGATTTTCCTGCTGAGGCCCCCATTATATCTAGCAGATTATTCTAGTACGTTCTAATAGCAGAAAAATTAAAAAAATTATTCCACATGTGAGAATATGAGCCTATACATGCGTTTGTAAGTTCCTGCTCCATGCAAGAGAAAATTATTAGCTAAACAACATGCCCAATACTGTGTTAGTCATACTACATAACATACTACATAACAATATCAAACTTGGGACACATTATTTTATGGGACTAGGTTAAAAATTATAGAATAATAGCTTTATTTTGTTAAGGATACAATTTTCCAGTTTCCTGCTATTTTTAAACATACAAATTTTTGGTTAAAATTTTTATTTTAGAAACCAGAACTCTGAAGTGGATTCTAGTTATGTCTTCTGTAAGATTAGTATTGATTATTCATGCCACTCAACAACGTCTCAGTTTATTCATCTAACTGCTAAGAAATAACACTTTCCCTCTTCATTGCAAGCAGAGGTGTGCAGGCATATGATGTACTATTTCACAAAGTATCTGGACTCTTCAACGGAGCAGCAGATGCTTCAAGAAGATGAAATAATGTTACATAGTGGCCTTCACCTCCCATGGTAGCCCTGAGAGTACCCTGGGCTGAACCTCACTGGCCCCTGCTCCAGCTGCACCTTCTGACATCCACAGGCTGCTCCAGGCCAGGGACTGAGTGTGGCAGGTAAGAGAAGGCCGGCCTCCTCGGAAGATGCAGGCCTCCTTGGGCTCCAGGACTCCCTGCAAGCCTGCAAACTTTCCTTAGAACCCTACTGCAGCCGGGGGCTCTCACACCAGCTTCGCTCCTGCCTCCCTCCTTTACTCAGGGTCAGACCTGCTCTGTGCTCTGGAGGATCGTCTAGCCTCTTCCCGCTCCCTCCCCATTTGTCCTCACATGTGTTTGTCCTAATAAATCCTTGAATCTTTATTCCCCACTTGGCCTCCATATCTCAGGACCTGGGCTAATGCACATCTCAATATTTTCTCCTGAGCGTTTTTATTAAGGCGTATTTGTAATGTCTCTCTTTCTAGGGCATTCCATCAGGAAAGTCATACAGGATCCATTAGTGAGGCAGGATCCCTGGAAAGGCAGCTCTGAGGGGTCCCGTGGAATGGCTGGTGTTTCCTTGAACATACTGTGGCTTCCCACTGTGCTTCCCAGCATGCTGCTGTGCGCAGGGCCTTTCCTGCCCATCTCCACACTCAGCTCTGAGCTTTCCCAAGTGATGGCAGTCACTCTCAGCTTTCCACAGACAGGACCCTGGCTCAAAGGAATTGAAAGAACATTAGTCCTCATCTCCATTCGCTCCAGGGCATTTCATAGTGGGTTCACTGTCTGGGGAGACACTGAACGCCCTGGCACTCTGGAGGACACTAGCTTTCAGTTTAGTTAGTTCTAGACTTCTCTATGTGTGACCTGGGTACTTAGAAGGCATTAAACTCTGGCTCTTAGATCCTGTTACAATTCCTTCCCATGGAGGCTAGAGACCAGCCCCACCACAGACTGAACAGCTTAAGTCTCTCACCTGTTTCCTATTAGATCCCTTCCTCAAGGCAGCCCCTTCTTCCCCAGTGTTCCCCTAGCACTAAGAACTATCATTTTCCAGAAGTCATATGGCTGAGGGCCACTTCTACTCTTCAGAGCAGACCTATCACAGATTACAGCTGGCTCAGAGAGGACCTAAGTTTGCCAGATCCCTTAAACTCAGTATCTGCAGAGATAGGCTTCCGACAGAAGGAAGGGGGAATCTGGGTCTATTTCCCCGTCATGGTCTCTTTCTATTCCCTCCCTTCCTTCCTGTATGAACTTAGCATGAAAGGCATTTAACATCATCCCGGTAGAAAATATGCTAATAACAGTCACCAATAGATTCCTCCTGTTCAATGCAATGCCTGACACAAAGTCAGCAGTGAAAAGCCTACTGGAATTAATGAATATTTGTGGTTTGAATAAGTGTGTTATTAATTAATTAAATCAATGGATTAAATGGATGAATTGGAGAGACAGGTTTAGGTGCCAACTTTAGAGAGTTGATAATTTATGATGTAAGTGGATACGGCCAAAATGAACAAGTCCAAAGTGGAAAAAATAAATAAGGACTCTAATCATTTTCATCTCCAAATGTCCGGCCATGTGTTATGACCCCTGCACATTACAAATGTTTATTATGTTTGTGGAATGGACAAAGGAAAACATGGTATTGTGGACAACACCTCCTGATCAGCCTTTGGTATTAAATATATGTGGGCTCAAACCCAAACTATAACACTTAGTAGCTGTGTGACTCAGGGTAAACTCTTAAATGCCGTCAACCTTAGATTCCTTATTAGTAAAAGGAGAACAATAATAACTACCACACATGGTTTTCATGAGGATTATGTTTGACAACACACATTGTCTGCCTTGGGAGTATATTAGTTAGTATTTCTAAAATTAGAAGATATTAATTTTTTCTTTCCATTTCCTTGCCTAACTTTTGCCTTTATGCTTGAATCCCATTCTACTTACCAGACTATATCTTAGCACCATAATCCATTCATCCATTCCTTTATCCACCTCACTTCCTCCTCTTCCTTCTGCCTATTCATCCACCCATGCATCCTTCGATCCATCCACCTGTCCATCCATCTATCCATCTACTCATCTACTCATCTGTCTATCCACCTGTCCATGCTTCTATCCATTTCTTTTTCTCTCTCACAAACTCTCTCATCTGCAAACTCTTCCTGTCAACCAAATGCTTCCCTTTTGATGTACATTTATACCTAAATTCCCTCCTTTCAAATGAATCCTCTCTCCCTTTAGGAAGATGAAACAATTCTGGAGATGGATGGTTTTGATAGTTGCTCAACAATGTGAACGTACTTAATGCCATTGAATTGTACACTTAAAAACAGTTAAAACAGTGAATTGTGTGTCATTTATATTTTACTCCAGTAACATAAAGAATCCTCTCCCAAACCTGCTGCCAAGTTGCATTATTACTTGAACTTCCTTCTCCCTTTATAACCACGTCTCTTGAGTTGTCTATACTTGTTTTATATTTTTCTGAAATTTCTTTTAACTTGCCTTTTTCCCCAAGAATCCCATGGTAACTACATCTATTAAGGCTATTTATACCATTCTAACAACTAAACCTAGTGGACTGTTCATCAGAAATTGCTTTAGCAGACCTCTGCAGCATTTGACGCTCTTCAGCACTGCCTACCACTTGTACCTCTTTCCTCTCTGTGATCCTATCTTGAGCCCATCCTCTGCTTTTGCACTAGAACCCATCGCTCACCTACTCAGGTGATATTGTCTAGTCCACCCGTTGTCACCTCCTTCTCCTAGGTCTTTTATTATAGAATTGATTATTCTATAATTAGAATTGATTATTCCCATCAGTATGTCAATGCGAATTTTATTCTTTCACACATTTAAACATATGTTTGACTGCACTTCCTCTGTTAATATCACCTCATTTTACAGTGGAACTCTTCGAAGGTGTTGTCTATTTTTTCTGTTTCCACTTCCTTTCTTATGGCTTTGTCTTAGACTTGCTCTTCTCAATCCAAGAAGTCGCTCCTGTCATGGTCACTGATAACATTGGCACTGCTGAGTTCAGCAGTGAATTCTGGGCTCTCATCTCACTTGACCTGTCAGCAGCATTTAACACAATCAACTTGTTCTTTCCTTCTGGAGACTTCTTCCCTTAGCTTCTCTTATTTTTACTCTCTTCACATTTTCTCCACCTCAGTGGACTATTCTGACTCAGATTTCTTCTCATATTCAATACAAATCACTTCTTCACACAATCCACATCTAACCCATCTGGAAATCCTGTTGATGTTGATGACAATATGTTGCCATAACTTATTATGCCTTTCACTATGACCGCCCTATTCAAGCTACCTCCATCCCTTACCTGGAGAACTCCAACAGCCTCCTAAAGGGTCTCTTTACTCTACCTGTGCCCTACTCAAAATCCCTCCCAGCATCCCGTTCAGACTGACCGTGGTAAAACCTGTGTCCGATCAGGTCATGCCTGTGCTCAGAAACCTCCTTGGATTTTCTGTTTCTTTCAGAGTAGAAGCCCCAGCTCTTAATATAACCTAGGAAGACCCCTATAATCTGGGCTCTGCCATTATTTTTTCCCGTTTGTCTTTCCAGCTTTGCTGGGGCAGCACTCAGCCTCTTCTCCATTCCTCCAGCATGCTGAGCAAGCTCTTGTTTCAGGGGTTTTCCTGCAAATATCTCTAAGACTCAGTGTTTTAGCTCCCTCAGATTCTAGTTGAGTTAGCTTCTCCGTGGATCCTACCCTGTCATCCATTTAAATTGCAAATCTCCCATTCCAAAGACTGCTGTCAATTCCTCTTACTCTGACCTGTTTCTTTTGCATAACATTTATCAAATTCCCATGCACCATATATTTTACTTACCTGTTTTGTTAATATTGTATTTCAAGTCTTCTGCTAAAAATCAAGTTTCAGGATGATAGAGATTTTTTGTTCTTCTCTTCACTGCTGCATCCTTCATTTCTAGACATACTAGTATACTTAATAAATGTATTTAGTGACTAAATGAATAAAAGTGCTTCTGGACATTTGACCCACCATATTCCTGGAACTGGAAAGCCTTCCCTCTCTTTTTAAACTAAAATGGGACATATTCAGTTCCTAACCTCTAGTCCTTGGCAAGATCTCTGATCCAAGTTTACTCTAACTGTCTATTTCTATACTTCTCTCCCACATTCTTGAGCCTAATACTTTTATTTCCCCCAAAACAACACCCACTCCTCCACTGCTACCAATACTGCCCTTATGGTTACCTGGACCACCATTAAGGCTGCCTGACCTTTCACACTGGCTTGTCCCTGGGCTCCTGAATTCCTAAATGAGTGGCTTAAATCTGCTTATTTGAGGGGAAGATTTTCTTTATGACATTCTGTCACAAATGGACAAGTTTTATTCAACCACTCAAACAAGAAATCTTGCTAATGCAAAATATAAAACCTAAAAAAGCAGAGTATATAAATATATATATCTAAATCAGAGTAAAAATATCTTAAAATAATATTTTCATGCTTTCTTATTAATATTCATCTGCAACATTTGTTTTATAATCTGCAAATGCTGGTGAACAAACTTGTAGCAGCAAATGACAACATTTCATGAGGAATTTGTAGAAGCAAATATTTACCAGCCAATATACTTCATAAAAGAAGGAAAAGTGCACCATTTAATTTTAGAGGAGTGCAACTTGCTCTAGCTTAAAGATTGCCTTTATTCCCCTGGTTCATGAGATGAAGTGCCTACCTATACCTAGCAAGGAGCTCAGGATCCTGAAAACCTGCCTCAGGCAACTGATTTCTCATTCCTTCCTTCCCCTCTGTCTTCTTTCCTCCCTTTCATGTCAGCACATATGTTTAAGGAGCGACTGTGAGATTATAAACTGCATTAGGAACTGAGCATGTGATGGTGTGCACACCTCACACAGTTCCAGCATCCCTACAGCTTTTGTTTTAGTTTGGAAAGAGCATTTAAATCACGTGATCACAAACCACAAAGGTGTACACCTGTCCCTCATGCTCTTCTATTGTAAGACTGCTTGTTTCCAGAATGTTCCATAAAATGTCTGTTTTCTTTTCCACCACTCATATCTTCCTCAGTTGGATTTTTGCTGCCTCTCTCGTCTTACTTCAAGTTGAAGTTTTAGGTCAACGTGGAGATCACCTCCTCCAGGAAGTCTATTTTCTGGTTAAGGCTGTTCATGGCTTGTCTCCTCAAAACAGTGAGAAGCTATGACTATGTCGGATTCACAAGCTTATCTGCCCCAGGAATTTACGCCTAGTAGCCACTCACAATTAATATCTTTAAAGTAAGCCGGAAAAGTGTATTAAGTAGCCAATGTTTATGTAGTTTTGTTTTTTACTATTAACTAAACTGCACACTTTATTTTTTCCTAAAGTCTGTTTTCTATTCTGGGATCAGATCCAGGACCCCACATTACATTTAGCCTTCCTGTCTCCTTAGCCTTCTCTAGTCAGTGATGTCTCAGAATTTTCTTGTTTTTGATGACCTTGACAATTTTGATGAGTGCTGGTCAGGTATTTTGCGGAATGTCCCTCCATTTGGGTTTCTCTCATGTTTTATCTTATGGTTAGCCTGGGGTTATTGGTTTTGGGGAAGGAGGCCACAGATATGGTCTTTCATCATATCATGATGCTAGGCATGCTGTCAACCCTTCTATGGCCCTCGCACTACGTTCTGACCTGGCTCACCTGGCCCAAGTAGTGTTGGCGAGACTTCTCATGGTGGAGTCATGCTTTTCCTCCTCCCACAGTCCACTCCTTGGGTGTACATCACCAAGCACAGCCTACCTCAAGGTGGGGGGGGGGGGGGTGGGTAAACTCCATCTCCTTCTGTGCAGGAGATCTGCACCCTCCCTTCCCATTTATTCATTTACTCAGTAATAAATGTGGACTCATGGGCAATGTTTCTTAAATGAGAGGTAACAATTGTTAATAATTCAGGGAATATGATATTTGAAGCACAGTGAATTGTGAAGTAACCAAGGTTAGTTCATTACTAATTTCTGCATCATTTGTTCTTTCACATAGTAGGTGTGAGGTGTGTGTGTTTGTGCTGTGTGTGTGGTGTATGTGTGTGTGGTATATATGTGTAGTATGTGTGTATATGTGTTAGGATATTCATGGCGCATGTGTGTGTGGTGTATATGTGTGGTGTGTGTATATGTCTGTGTCAGTGGTGTGTGTGGAGTGTGCGTGTGGTGTATATGTGTGGTGTGTGTATATATCTGTATTAGTGGTGTGTGTCGGGTGTGTGTGTGGTGTATGTGTGTGGTACGTGTGGTTTGTGTGTAAGCCAAGTGCTCTCGGGGGTGTATGAAATACACTGATTAGCGACATACGTGGTGGCCGTCTTCATGGAACAAACAGTACAGGGATGGCATAGTCAAGTCGACGGGCCTTTGCAGTCGGCGCTGTGGCTGGAAAGCAGGTGAGCGTCCTCTGACAGTGGCCCACTCCCAGCCTGGCTCTTCAGAGAAGGCTTCACTGCGGAGGGAGAACTTAAGCTGAGAGCTTGAAGGGACTCAGGGCACTCTTCACACTTCACATCCGCCCACCCACCCCGGGACCCCGTGTGGCCATGTCGCCCTCCTGCTTCCACACCCCTGCCCCCCCTCAGGGCCGCCAGCTTCTTCCTCCACCACCAGGCTCTGCCCGCTCCCCCTAGGGCCCTTCTTCTCTGTCCCCTCCTCTTCCTCGCTGCACACCCCCAGACCCCACCGCTGTCCAAGGTCCCGCCCAGGTTTCCTGCTACATGTTGGCAAAGTGACTCCAAAGAGAGCCGCAGCTCTGGAGGCTGAGTTCAAACCCTGACTGCGTGGCTCCCATGCCACTGATCTTGGATATCTGTCTACAAAATGAGGTGAATCCTGTCTTTCTTATGAGAAACGAGGAAGGCGTGTAACTTACACAGTCAGAATAAGTCTCAGTGAGCTCCTCAGTTGTCAGCTATTAAGTGGACCAATAGCTAACGGGCAGTTAATAACGGCTTTCTGAAAGAAGAGTGAACCCCGCGGGCAGGTTTCTAGTTGGAGGAAATAAGAGAAAGTGTGTGAGGGAGACCTTTCCAGCCAAGAGTATCGGTGACCTTCAGAGAGCACCTGGCAGCAACCTGCTCTGTGGATAAACCAGCTCGTCCTTTAGGAAAAGTCCTGGGAATCAGTAAACTAAGATTTTAGAAAATACCAAATTAGATGTGAGACTGATAAAATGTTTAGTTAAAACATAAAAGCAAGTTTCATTTTCTCAGAAAATTACCTTCATAGTATTTACAGATTCCAGGATCCAAGACTCTGAATTACCTATTTCGACTGTGCAGATGAGGAGGACAGGGCGCGAGCTGCCTCCTCTCTGTCCACACGATCTCTCCATCTGGCCGTGGCCAGGAAAGGAAGAGCAGTGGTGACACAGGACATTTTCCACTGTCTCTAAGTAGCCCTGTACCTCCCTGTAACTGTTCCCAGAGGACTACTGCTGCCACCCTTCCTGAGTACCTGTGCATCACCCCTGTCACCGTCCCTAAGTACCTGTGTATCACCCCTGCCACCATCCCTAAGTACCTGTGCATCACCCCTGCCACTGTCCCTAAGTACCTGTGCATCACCCCTGCCCCCGTCCCTAAGTACTCGTGTGCATCACCCTGCCACCATCCCTAAGTACCCATGTGCATCACCCCTGCCACTGTCCCTAAGTACCCATGTGCATCACCGCTGCCACTGTCCCTAAGTACCTGTGCATCACCCCTGCCACCGTCCCATAGTACCCATGTGCATCACCCCGCCACCGTCCCTAAGTACCCGTGCATCACCCCTGCCACTGTCCCTAAGTACCTGTGAATCATCCCTGCCACCGTCCCTAAGTACCTGTGCATCACCCTGCCACTGTCCCTAAGTACCTGTGCATCACCCCTGCCACCATCCCATAGTACCCATGTGCATCACCCTGCCACTGTCCCTAAGTACCCGTGCATCACCCCTGCCACTGTCCCTAAGTATTCATCTTTCTCTCCTGCCACCTTCCCTAAGTACTCGTGTATCACCGCTGCCACGTTCTCTAAGTATTCATGTATCACCCATGCCACTCTCCCTAAATACTCATGTATCACCCCTGCTACTGTCCCTAAGTATTCATCTTTCACTCTTGCCACCTTCTCTAAGTATTTGTGTATCACCCCTGCCACCTTCCCTAAGTACCCCTGTACCTCCCTGCCACTGTTCCTAGAGGACCTAAGTACTACTGCTGCCACCCTTCCTAAATACCCGTGTATCACTCCTGTCACTGTCCCTAAGTATTCGTGTATCACCCCTGCCACCGTCCCTAAGTATTCATATGTCACCCCCCTACTTTCCTGACGTACCCATGTGCTTCCCCTGCTGCCATCCCTGGGTAGCCGTGTCCCTCCCTGCTATCATCCCCAGAGTGTCCATGTGGTGTCCTGTTTGGTGGATGAGCCACCGTGAGCCAAGGAGTCTAAGCAACTTCCCTGTATTTACTAAAAGGCACAGCTAGAATTTTAACGTAATTCTCAATGTTCTGAGACCACACTCAGAAGGAATAAATAAAGGTATTTTGAGAAAGGATGAATAAATATATATATACACACACATACACACATTCCTCAAGACGATCCCTTGGAAGGAGACAGACCGCTGCACTTGGATGTACACCTTCTGAGTGTTTCTTGAGCCAAATGTGTTATCAATTCAAGGGCACTCTTTTCACATCTCTTTCTCAAGAACAATCTAACAGATTTGACATTTATAAACTATTTCCAAAGGGTAAACAAAGTTTTACTGAATAGCAACACTGAACCCTAGCAGTACTTACAAGCTGCAGTACGTCCAGAAACCTCTGGAAAGCACTGGATATTGAATCATCCAGCATCTTAATCAACAGAATGACATCATCAATGGGGCAGAAGAGGATAATGGGTCATTTTAAAGAATAAATGTGAAGCATTTGTGAAGTTGTCTACAAAGAAAAGATAAAAGTGAAGCGTTTGTAAAGTTGTCCATACATCACCGTAGGTTTAACAGAGAATTGCATTCATTAAACAACCCTGTGAATAACCACACACTTCCACGTGCCCTCACAAATGTTTCAAAACCTGTGCCACCTCATGGAGACTCGGAGGAGATGTGTTTCATTTCATTCTTATAAATCCATTCACTCCTGGAACCCAGGCATTTTGGGGGGCTGAGAGGATGGAGGAAACATTGGAAAAACCAAAGGAGAAATCCGTCTTCGTAAAACACTGGTGTGGAGCACATTTATGCACGTTGTTACTCCTAAGGACAAGGGCAGTAGGACTGACGTCGGAAAGGTGAGAGAAAGCTCCTGCTATGCTGACGGGGACTTCCCACATGGCCATCTCAGGGTCTGCTCCGTCTCCGCATGGCAGTGTGTCCCTGAGAGTGTCCTTCTGGATTCCAGCATCATGGAGTGCAGCTGTTGCCAGGGCTGGTACTAGCTGCACTATAAGCGTTGTCTCTGTTTCTCAAAATCTCCTCACTAAAGATGGCACAGAGAGCGGTGAGGGACTTGCCCTGTGATGTGCTAGATAAAGTGTTTGGACCTGAAGCCAGTTGTCGTTCACCCTTTGCCCTGCCACTCAGGCCTGGAGGAATTCAGAAGACCTGCAGAGACAATTGGCTCCCAGCTCTGCCTCACCTAGGTTCTGCTCACTTGGAAGGGATCTGGGCGTACGTTTCTTTCCTTCTTTCTTTACTTTTTATAACATGGGGCTGAACATGTTTGGGATTTTATGGAGATCTTTAGTGAGGTTTGGGGTATTTTCATTATTTAAATTAATAATGATTTCTTTTCTCCAAAAATTTTCTGGAGAAGAATTTAAAAATAAAACGCAAATTATTCCCAATCCTACAACATAGGGATAATCACTCAACATTTTTGCTAAGCATCTTTCCCTGGATTTTGCTATGCATATGCTATTTATGCATTTTGAGCTTACTTTGCACCATACTTGGTATCATATTTTCTTATGTTACTCAATATTTCATTGTCATTATTTTACCATGTAATTAAAATCATTTTAAAACATCGATTTTAATGGCTACATGACATTTCATAATATGAATATACACCAACATACTTAACATTCATTTACACTTGAACACTAAGTTTGTTTACGGTTGGAGACCATGATAAATAACATGAGTGATAAGTGATAGTGGTAAGGGAAAGTGATCTAATTACAGGATATCTGAACAGAAGGAAGTGGGAGAGAAGCAACGAGATGCCTAGGTGTCTGGGGGAAGGGGTCTCAGATAAGGGGGAACAGCAAGAACAAAGGCTCTGGAGCTGATGTGTTTGGGGTTCTGAGGAAGGGCAAGGAAGCTGGATGTGCTGGAGCAAATGAGAGAGAGAGTCGGGAGAGATGGGGCCAGAGAGAGAACAGGCCACTGGAAAGATGCCCACTGTTTTATTCTGTTGGAGAGAGAAAACCATCTGAGCAGAGGAAAAATGATCTGACTTCCATTTACAAATGTGTCTGGAAAAGGCAAGTGGATGAGGATGACTGTATTTCCAGGTTCCGGGGAAAGGGGATGGGGTCGGAGGTGAAGATGGCAAGGTCAGGGCGCACAGCAAGTAAACTGGAAATACAGGGGGCAGCGTTAATCACCGTCTGAATTTTTTTTTTCCTATGAATAGTTCCTGTCTTTTTTTTTCCTTCTTTCCTAAATTTAGGCTATAGTGTGTTCTAGTCTCTATGGTGTGTTCTATCTTAATCTTTTTAAACTTTTTAAACTTTTTTCTGTCTTATTTTCTGGCAAATGTATGCTGGCTTGTTGTCTCTTACTTTGTCTTTAATTTTGAAGAAATAACTTTTACATATTATGTAATTAAATAGTAATCTTTCCTTTTTGTGATTTTTCTATCATACTGAGTTTTGTTTAGCATAAAGAGAACAAAGCAATGTCTGTCTAATTTCTTCTATATTTCTTTTATGACTGCTCTTACATGGAAACCTGAATCTGTCTAAAATGTTTGTTTATGTGTGTATACAGTTAGTTTGTAATTAGTACAAATTTGTTTATTTTCTACCTAGCTCATTTTTTGGTCCAAAAACATTTAAATGATAAATTCTGACATTTTCCAAGTTTGTTTAGACAGCTCTGCCACTAGCCATTCCAATAATGTGAAGCCTTGAGCTCTCTGAAAACCACAGTATTTAAGTTATCAGAACAGCTGTTTCAGTACAAAGAATAAATGGAAATATTGCTCAATAATCTCACTCATTGTTGAACAGCATATAATGGATGGAACCTGTAAGAATTCATAGCAAAATGAGAATGACATTTTGAATCATCAGTTATTACGGATAAACTTATTTTATAATACAAAAGGAATTAAATTAAAATAGAAGCCATTCACGGAACCCCTTGCTCCTTCCTACTTCTGTCAAGCATGGTTTATAGACGGTGCACATTTATTCAACACTCCACAGATCAAATAGACAGCAAGATAATCTAAAAGAGAACCATAGTTACGCCCCAGCTCAATTCAATAGTCTTTATGCATCTCCCAAGTTCGAAGCACCTAAAACAATATCCAAAATCAACATTGGCTTGATTTTTACTCTAATACCTCTAATATTGTCTTCAATAAAAATACTTTAACATAATAAAAATTGAGACAAAATTTCACAAATTTAATGTATAAAGTAGTTACAGTAAATAAAGAAGTTGATTTACCTAAATCACGAAGTCAGAGAACATCAGAAAAAGATGGTTATGCTGCTGCTGTTGCTGCTGGTGCTGATGATGATGAGAGCTAACATTGTCTAAGAACACGATTATTTGCCAGATATTGTGCAAAAAGTGCTAAAAGCATCACCTTGTTCTGTCTCCACAACAATCCTGTGAGGTATGTGCTTTTATCATGTTATTTTAGAATAACTAAAACTCATTTCAGGATGAGAGCACCAAAGCATAAAGAAGTCGAACAAATTGCCCATGGGCTTCCAGTAGAAACAGAAACCC